GCTGATACAGCTTGCTGCTTGGACTATTTGGCTATTGGACTGTTTTTCATGGTTTCATCATTATTTTTCTGGAGTGTTCAGGGTAAATAGTCACCTGTGGTATTTATATGTTTACTCTGATAAATACTTGTGTACCAAGTAGCATGTGATCTACCCTTTTGCCCACATTATTTTTTGCAATAAGTATAAAGTCTACAAAGACTTTGCTACTTAGATCTTGTAGTTCTTTGTATTCCAGGTAGTTTTTACTGTGTATTATGTGCACACAAATGTAGAAGAATCTAAGAATCCATCTCATTGACTAGCTCTGAAGGTGAAAGTTACTGCAGCTGTTGTGGTTTAACCCCAGCCAGCAACTAAGCACCACCCAGCTGCTTGCTCACTCCCCCCTGGTGGGCTGGGGGAGAGAATCAGAAGAGTAAAAGTGAGAAAACTCATGGGTTGAGATAAGAACAGTTTAATAATTGAAGTAAAATAAAGTAAAACAGTAATAATACAATAATAATATACAAAACAAGTGATGCACAATGCAATTGCTCACCACTTGCTGACTGATTGATGCCCAGCACATCCCTGAGCAGTGATCACTGCCCCCTGGGCCTACTCCCCCAGCTCATATACTGAGCATGATGTCATATGGTATGGAATAGCCCTTTGGCCAGTCTGTGTCAGCACCCCCCCGGCTGTGCTCCCTCCCAGCTTCTTGTGCACCTGGCAGAGCATGGGAAGCTGAAAAGTCCTTGACCAGTGTAAGCACTACTCAGCAACCACTAAAACATCAGTGTGTTATCAACGTTATTCTCATCCTAAATCCAAACCACAGCCCTATACCAGCTACTAGGAAGAAAATTAACTCTATCCCAGCTGAAACCAGGATGGCAGCCTGCCATCACATTCAGCATTGCTGATAAACAAGAGCAGCATGATGGGCTAAATGTGATACAGGTATGACTTCAATGAGAAGTGTCCCTCAGGATTGTAGCCCAAACACTCATGTTGCAGAACAGATGCACAGGAATTGCTAGCTTGCTACTTAAGACTCACCAGCTTCTAAAAGTGTAGAGAATGCAGTTGGTGGCAAACAAGATTGTAGCAGCAAATGTACATAACAGCTGGTTAACGTGCCACTGCTGACCAACCTGGGCTGCATGGGAGCATTTCTGGAACTGGAGAATAAGCTTTGCACATACACAATTAATTTATTATTGAATTTACAGATCCGTACTCAGCCTCAAAACTAAGGACTTCAGGCTTGTGAAGCATCACAGAATATGAGCGAGGGAGCCCGCTTTGTTACATAACGTTGTTTAGTGGTGGACTTGGCAGTGTTAGGTTAATGGTTGGACTCGATGATCTTAAGGGTCTTTTCCAACCTTAACGATTCTATAAATTCCTTGCTCTCCCCTTGAGTATTAAAGTAAAGAGTTTGCTTGGGTTCTACTGGATGTGATTGTTGTCTCCTGTCTTCAGCTGCTCATTGTAGTGTGTGAGAGGGGCTGGAGGAGCAGGAACTTCAAGAAGATCTTGCACCTGATTGCATGTTTAGGCAAATGGAAAAGGTCATTTGTGTTGTGAATAAATTCTGTTTGCAACTGCAGCCTGATCTCTTTCATGGTAGATGTCTCCCTAAATCTACCCAAACCATGATGATCTTTTTCTGGGAGGTTTAAGGCAGAAAAGGCTTGTGTTGTTTTTATTTTTTTATTTTTTTAAAGATCTGGTGATTTCTAAAGGCAAACAAATTTGCCTGTTAGGAGAAAGAGTATAACAGCTTATATTGCCAAATAGAACTATGTGTCTGTCTCTTGGGCTTGGCAACTCAAGGATGTAAATGTTCCTCTAGTTACAGAACATAAAACAGACTATTCTCTCAGAACTTGGGCAACAGCATTTCAGAAGCCTGATGGCTGTACTGCAATTACAAAATAGGGTTTTCTCTTGCTAAAATTGAGCGCTCAGGTTTGCTGTATGAACAACCCTGCCATCTAAAATTCTGTATGAAAAATTTTCAAGCATCACCTCCCCAAAACTGGATAAAGATCAGCACTAATACTGATAAATTGCATAAGTAATCAACATTCAAATTCTCCTTACTTACTGTGTTGCTGTTGGCATCTAACCTCCATAGGGCAGAGGGAAAAGAATCATTTGCACTTTGCCACTGAAGGCGTCACTGATTTTTATTTTTTTTTTCCAAAGTGTAGAAATAGTGACCAGTCAATAGGATATCTGCCAAAATGTATCGCCATCCAGAGTGGTTTTTCAAAAATAGGCTAGTATGAATGTTTTAGGCTCTTGCTGACAGTAACAAAAATCTGACTGTCTTTGAAATTGTTTATCACCTACCCTACACCATCACAAGATTTTTCTATTTTAATCTGTGAACAATCTGCTTGTATGAAACAGAAATGAAGTTGCAGAAAATACACCCTTTGCACCAACTTAAAGGAGTTGGGTCTGTCCCATTACAGTTAAAAGTTGTTGAGATGGTTTGTGAGTTTTTTAATCCCATCACCTGATTAAGAGAGTTGTGGACAAGCACGTGGTGGGAAGCTAATAGAGCAAAGCTTTCTGCAAGCCTTTTACTGTTGGCTTTGGTTTAGGGCACAGGCTGTTATATTCCAAGGTAGTCCATAACTCCTCATCTTTGTATTTCTTGGCTAAGGCTACATCAAAGTTTCCTTACAGAGAAGACAGGGTTCCAAGCAGTTGTCTAAATTATCCATGAGAACTCAATTAAGCTATTCCAGAGTCCCATAGTTGCAGGTATCGTAGCTGATGAATCCTGCAACAATTAACACAGCTGAAGCATTAATGGGTTATTGGTTTGTGTCTTGTAGTGATGTTTGTTTGCTTTCTGCAGTAGATGCAGTGAGGGATATGTTCAACATAAGTCAGATGCACCATCATATGCAAACAGTGTGTCTCTGGGGCCTGTTACAGTCTTTCCAAATGTTCACCAGTATCTGAATTGAGCCAATTTATATTACATCAGCAAATTGTAGTTATGCTTATGGAACAGAAGATACTGAGGACCAGGCTGATCAATCTCTGGAAAGCTGTGAAGGAAATAGGGTTAAATGAGCAAAAAATTAATTACTTCTGGAGAGCTAGAAGGAGAGAAGATTGAAAGGTTACTACTATTGGAGAATCTTTGCTGCTGATTACAGTTATGCTGATGAAACTGGTGAATGTTAGTTACTAGGCATTGGTAACCAGTTTGCTGAGGGGCTCGCCCTGCTTTGACTGCTAGTCATGCCTCTCATTTTTCACCGGTATAGATCTTTTAGTAATGTGCTATCATTTCTCCTGTGCTTACAGAAACAAGAATCTACTTATTTGTTGCTTAAACAAGTTCCCTAAAATAAAAAAAAAATGGAGATAGTTCTAGCTCTTGCTAGTAAGTACATCCAGAATATTTTCTCAAGTATGTATATTAAATTGATAATTATCACTTCTTAAAACAGCTAAATTTAATCTCCTTTGTAGTGAGGACTCTCACTAGCTAGACGTTCACCTTTATTAAGCCCAAATATCAGGCTTTCAACTGAGTTAACATTAAGCAAAGTTGTTAATATAAAAACACCAATCACAAATGACTCAGACGTTAGCTTCTGAACGTGTCTTTTCCCTGTCCAATTTTGTTGTATTGGAAACTACTACTCTGTATTGGATATTGTCGAACTAAAATAACTTCACAGGTATATTATGCATATACATTATACATTATAATAGTATTATACAGGATGTATTTTTGAAAAGCAATTCCATTAAAGCATATTAAATATTAATTATCTTGAAATTAAATACATATAATCAGTGCAGCATACTGTACATGTTCCTGTATACCACATGACTATATGACAAATAGCATACCTCATCCTTCTCCCTTCCTGTTTTGCTGTTGGTAATGCTTAGTAGGATGCATGATTCATATCATACAATAGAGAAAAGCCTGTCCCAGCACCCTGAGCCCTGCTACTGACAGGGCAGCACACAGCTCTCATACATCTAAACAGTCATAGTGTTGATTTTGATCAGTTGCAGTGGAAAGGAACAGTATGTTTTTCTTTGCACTTCCACTTTGATAATACACCTGTAAACATCCATGAAATATTTATTTTCTTGTCACAATTGTAGCCATTGCCAATTATATTTTTCTTTTCTGCAGGCTGCTCCGACTCTTCCACAGAGACCACTTCTTCATTGTTCTACTGTGATTCCTGTTGTGGCTCTGACATTAAAGTTTATTATGCACCTTTTCAGGCTTAAGAACTCACAGTGTTTTCTTCCCTGGATGTTGTTCATATCCTGGACTTCTCATCACATCCATGACGGGATTCGTCATGGCCTCTGGATCTGCCCATTTGGAAAAACTTCTCCTTTGCCATATTGGCTGTATGTGGCAATTACAGCATCTTTACCTCATCTATGTTCATTTATTATGTATTTAACAGGCACTAGAGAATTAATGTCTATAAAACACGGAATCCGCATTGATGTATAAGGATGATGGATCTTAAAAGTTGTTTATATTAGCACTTGAAATAACCTGTCTGTTTATCACTGAAGGGGTTTCCTTATGTTTCCTACAACTTACGAGTTAGGCATTTTAAGCCTGTGGAGCCAGTTACAGCTCCTGTGTCAATTCCTTGTGGTCACAGAAACCTATTTCATGAATGGTAATAATTTCATATCTATACATTCCCCTTGTAAAATATGTGATCTTCCATTATAGTTCATGCATAGCTAGCTGATTTATAAAATACTTAGTCTCTCTGTAGTAATTACATTACATTTTACTGTCATGGTGCCATTCATCTGATCACCATTCATTTTGGATTTGTATTCTACCTTTGGATAATACATTTCATCTAGATAGCATTTGTATAGCGCTTCAAAAATGTAAAGTACTATATAAATGCTAAGTATTAGTGAGAATTTAGTATTTTATGGCACTTCTAAAAAACATTAATTAGCCTTTTGAATGTATTTGTTTTCCT